AACAGTACTATATACAATAGCAAAAAGATGGAGACAGCCTAAGTGCCCATCAATGGAAGAATGAATAAACAAACTGTGGTACACACACAATGGAATATTGTGCTACATTGAAAAATAACAAGGAAGCTGCAAGCCACCACACAACATGGATGAACCTTGAGGACATTATGCTGAGTGAAATTAGTCAGTCACAAAAGGAGAAATACTGCAAAGGACCATTATTGTAAAAGATTAAGAAAAAGAATCCACCCTAAAATTAGGAGGGGAAAAAAAAAAATATATTTGCTGATCACCAGGATGTATGGAATTTGGGGGTGGGTGGGTAGGGAGGTGAAGATAGAGTACAGGATAGGGAATAGGCACAGGATAGCTTGGGTTCTGGGAGGATAGAAGGGGTAATACACAAGAGGGAGGGGAATGGAAGAATAAGGCAGATGGGAGAACAGTCAGGCAGGTATGCATGGGCTAAGTGGGTCAGAGGTAAATGATGATGCGTGCACAACCTTGGAATAACAGGGCTCTGAGATACAGGGATCGAGGCATGGTGTGAATGGTTACAAGAGGGGAATAATGTTAAGATGCTTAGCTGTCTTTTGAATCTTGGTTTCCCTTGCCTACCGCTGTGAAATAGACATTGGGGGCAGGGGAAGGAATAGCCAGAAACATCACAATATAAAGTTTGTAAGGCCATCTTCAGCCTATAACTGATTGGAATACCTTAAAGGGGGCTAGAAGTTGCCCAGGGAAAGAGGCTTTCTGTGGAGCCTTTGCATTGCATAAGACCATAGGTGGAATCCTGAACCCCATCCAGAATCTTCTGAGGTGGGAAATTTCCACTTAAAAGTCCAAGCAGACCAGCCTGGAATGGCTAGAGGAACAGATGATACTTCGTGAAAGAAAAACTGGAAGGAAAAATCAAAAACAATAATGGCAGTCTGAATGACTAGTACAAGAACAAGCAAGCTGTTCGCCCAGGAGCCATCAAGGCAAGTGGTCAGGTCCCCTCAGGACAAACCCCCTTCCAAGACTAAGACTCAAGGGGAATACACGAGCAGGCATGTAGTCTGGCTGATGACCACACTGGTCACTGAAAATGGGAAGGGGGGAAAAACAGCAATGAAGTTGGGAGCTAAGTCCAACCACATTCAATAGAGTCCTTGTGAACCCGGGTTGAGACCTGGTTGGCCAACTGTATGGCAAGACTTGGGGACTCCTGGGCTCAGAGGCAGTGACGTGGCCACAGAAAACTAGAGCAGAGAGTGAAGAGTCCAGCTGATATAAAGTGAGGGGAGATGCACAAGAACACCCATACTTGCAGATAATACCCACCTGACTGGGCTTCAATGACTGGATGATCAAAACTCAACTAAAAGAAGAAAGAAGAGGTAAAAAAAAAAAAAGAGTAGCCCACTACAATGTGATGAACTTTACCTATACTTATGGATGTTGTTGTTAAGTGCCATGGAGTCAGTTCCGACTCATAGCTACCCTGTACAGGGTTTCCAAGGCTATAAATCTTTACAGGAGCAGAAAGCCTCATCTTTCTTCTGCAGAACAGCTGGTAGTTTTGAACTCTGACCCTGAGGCTAGCAGTCCAATTCGTAACCATTATGCTACCAGCGCTCCTTAGTAGCTCAAAAAAGGGAACACATTTTTACAGCGAGGATCACTCCCACCCCATCGGTACACTGGGTTGTCAGGGGTGGGCAACTTAAGACATTGGATACCCAAAATGGGGGTGGGGGAGCTGCACAGGCAAGAAATGACTGGCTTACACATTTTCATGAGGGAGCCTAGTTCCAGACAGGGCAGCAGGGGAAGGTAGATCTCTACTGAATGATTTCCAACCTGTTGGGAGGGGGCTAATGAAAGGAGCTGGGGATAAGACTTGTGTGGTACAATAGTGAATAATTGCTATCAGGACTGACTGTGAGGGTTGCAAATGTAAAGGTAGATGTTTTGCAACAAAAGGAGGGGAGTGACTGATTTTGCAGTCCAGGAGGGGAGGTCCCTGGGATCACCAAGTGAGAAGAGCAGAGTGCGGGACTCTATCCAGAGAAGTAGTGAAGACAGAAATAGAGGCAGAGACGATGATGTGGA